ATAAGAAGTAAAGGTTCTCTTTTGGCTCACTGTTCAAGGGTGTAGTCCATTATAATGGGGCAGTCATGTTGGCAGGTGCTTGAAATGTCCAAGAAGAAAATAGATCATAAGACATGAAACTTATAGAAGAAAATATAGGGGGAATGCTTCAAGCATCAGCATGGGTGGTCAGGAAGCAGAGAGAGAGAGAGAGAGAGAGAGAGAGAGAGAGAGAGAGAGAGAGAGAGAGAGAGAGAGAGAGAGAGGAGAAAGAGAGAGAGAGGAGAGAGAGAGGAGTTCTGATCTTCAATTCATTTTCTCCTTTTGTTCAGTGCAAGACTCCAGCCCATGGAATGGTGCCACCCACATTTAGGGTTGACTTTCCCACCTTAAATGACCCAATCTATAAGCCCCTCACTGAAATGCTGAGAGGTCTGCCTATTAGGTGATTCTAGAAGCTGTCAAGTTGACAGCCAGTGTCAACCACCACAGAGTTCTTTACTCACTCCATGAACTTTATCCTTAGGTATCTTATTGTTGTGTGTTTTGGTGGGTATATGAATGTCATTTCTTAAATTTTCTCCCATGTATGCTCATTATTGGTGTGTAAAGACACCAATTCTGATATACACCATTTTATGGAGAAGGAAACTGTAGCCTTGGAAGAAACGTTGACTCACAGACCATAAATTTCTCTAGTGTGTTGCAAGCAACTCAGGTACTCTTTGCCCATAGTCTAAGCTGATTATAAGGAGAACAAACATGGAATATTTAAATGAGCTCAGGAGGAGGGTGTGAGCGCAGTCCTGTAAATTCTCCATAAACTGGTTTCTTTTATGAATTGATAATCCTGTAGTAAACTTGGTTCCTTAAGCAAGTCATTTTCCAAAGCCAGCGAGACTTTTGGGGGCCATCCTGCCTTTTTAATTCCCATCCTGACTTCTTTTCAGTTTTCAGAAGTCTTCCTTGCTGGAATTCTGTGTGCCTGAGGGGTCAGCCCTGTTATTTCCTGTGTTTGCTCCATTTTAATTCTATAACACTATGCATCAGTCTGTACATGTATGTCTGCTTGTAGTTGTTTTCATTAGATTTTAAAAAGCTAAAGTGGGCAGGGAATCGACTTGTTTATTTTTTCTTTTCAGCTTTATGTTAGTGCCTTGTTGAATAAATGAGTAAATTGAAAACTTGCTGATGAGGATGTGTGGGGGTGGGCAGTAAAGGTCAATGGTTAGAGAAAGGGAAAGGAGCGGGGAGCTGCCACTTTTTAAATGCGAACTTTTATTTGTGTGTCTGTGTGTCTGTGTGGATGTATGGCATAGGTGTGCAGGTGCACAAAGAGGCCAGAAGAGACTGTTGAATCCCTTGGGGATGGAGGTGGTTGTGAGCTAGCCTAACATGGGTGCTGGGATCTGGGTCTTCTGAAAGAACAGTGTGTGCTCATAACAGCTGAGACATCAGTCCAGTCTTGTTCACAGGTTTTGCAGAAGTGTTATACTGAAGATTTCCTCAATGGTTAGCTGATTCGCTCCTAGACACATGCTCACTAGAAAGGGTCTTTGTTGGGTTTTCCCAAGTCACTGACAACACCGTGAAAATTCTCTTGGGCCAGTCTTATTGTTCTTCTGTGCATTGTGCATATCAACATATATTTATCTCTTTATCTTTTGTTTGTTTGTTTGTTGCTTTTGCTACTACTTTACTTTATTTGAAGGGTTGGTACAAATGACAAAACATTAAGTGAGCAGCATTTTGGCACAGCTTACAGAAATGACAAAGATAATTCCCAAATCTCTTGATCTTTACAACCAGTCAGATATTGCAGCTTCCTTTTTTTTCCCCTCAGGGGAAGAACCAGAGACTCAACTAGTGTGTTAGCTTCTACTCTCACCTAGCTGGTAGATGGCAGGGTGCACTCTGAGTCTGGGCTTCACCCAGACCACTATGCTTTCTGACCTTCTGTGTCCCTCTAGGCTGAGGGTGTGTGTGTGGGGTCTCAGGTGTGAGACTGTGGCTACAGAGCTATCCATTGCTCCTGTGGCCCCTATGACCTGTGTGTGTGTGTGTGTGTGTGTGTGTGTGTGTGTGTGTGTGTATGAGTGTATGTATGCCATAAAATTTACTTACTTTTTTTTGAGACAGGGTTTCTCTGTGTAGCCCTTGGCTATTCTGGAACTCACTCTGTAGACCGGGCTGGTCTCGAACTCAGAGATCTGCCTGCCTCTGCCACCTGAGTGCTGGTATTAAAGGTGTGTGCCACCACTGTCCAGATTAAAAAAATATTTGTTTGTGTGGATAAGTGTTAGTGTGTCTCACACAAGCAGTATGCTTGGAGGCCAGAGGACAGCACTGGGTCTACCAGAACTGGAGTTACAGAAGGTTGTGAGTCACATGAGGGTTCTGGGAACTGAACTGGGGTCCTCGGCAAGGGCACCCAGCGCTCTTAACCTCTGAGTATTTCCCTCTGTTCCTATGCTCTCCGTTAGTTCTTAGAATAACTTAGGAAGTGAGTGTCGATGTTTTTCTCATTTGGAAGACATGAATGGAAGTTGAGGACCTTTTATCTCAAAGAGAAGCGTGGGCCATAGGTGAAGCTTATGTTTCAGGACATGCCTGGGTCCTCTGTGAAGTGACTGGGGTGGGGGTAGGAACATTGAGGGCAGTGATTTTGATGATTTTTTTGCCTGTTCTAATATGACAGCTGTAGGATTAAGGTAGCCATGAGAGCTCCCAGCGGCAGACAGAGAGCAGGTGGGACAAGGGTGGTCATTCTGGATGGATTCCTCAGCTGAACTTGCATCTTGCTCCGGCCTGTCTTCCCTGATTACTCTGCACACTATTACAATGGGACTCTTTGGGGAGCTCACATCCATGCTGGAGGCTGAGAGAAACCCTGGGAGGAAACCACCTCCACAGTTGCTCTAGGCTTACATACTGGTATGGCTTTCTGGGACCCAGCTAGGCTCTCCTCAGCCGAACCTGGCATAAGAATGGATGACCTCATCCTCTTTCCCAGAAACGGTGGAACCAGTGTGTGTAAGCCACTCTCTGGGAGTCTCACCTCAAGTGCAAGTTGGACTGATCACTGGGTCTGGCTTCTCTTGGGCCCTTGGCTTCTTAACTAGTTAGACCGAGGGTCTGCTTTAGGAAAGTGACTTCTCATAACTTCTGGTGACTGATGACAGAGGTGTTACCCCTAGGATCTTATTGAGTAGAGTCAGTGTTTCCAGCCCTTTGGGTAGAGAGAGACTCAGTACTACCTGAGATCTGCTGGGATGCAGGGAAACCTGGCTGGCTGAAGGTCTAGAAGAGGCCCTCTGGGCCTCAGTTTCATCAACTGTCAAAGGAAATGTGACACCCATTTTTCCTATTCAGGACCTCAGGGGCACTAAACACAGAGCTGTGATTAGTGGGCATACAGAGCTGCCTGCCTAATCTGGGGCTTGCTATTGCCTTCAGTGTTGACGCCGAAGAAGGAGTATGATTGAGATCATCTGTGTGACTCCAAAGGCTTAACACCCCTTTAACATTCCTGATAGAGGGCCTTGGAAAACATGGTGGAATGGCAGGAGGGCTTCAGGAGCAAATAAACAGCAGCTATTTTATTAGGGCTATAATTGGGATTTCACACAGGTAGCTTGGGTGGTGAACAAGGTTAATAAGTAACGTATGAGACATGAGGTGCAAAGTCTGGATTCAGCCCATATCTTTTTGGTTGCCTTTGTCTCTATGGCCTGGGAATCTAGGCCTCTTGGGAGAGCCTTAGCTTTTGTTAGTCTATCTTCATCTAACACTGGATGGGGCTTCTGAGCTGCCAAACAAATTCAGGCACTTCAAGTTCTCCATGTGCATCTGGGGCAGCTCCATGCTTAGGACTCCTTATACATCCCTATCCTTGATCATTCTCCTGTATCCCACACCTGATTCTGCACGCACATTGCTAGCTGATTTTGTTGCGTGTGTGTGTGTGTGTGTGTGTGTGTGTGTGTGTGTGTGTGTGGCTGGAAACAACAATATTCTGTGTGACAGGGAACCTCCTTCATCAAACAGCCTGAGGGAGGATAGGGCAGAGAGAATAAGAACTGGCCAGAGTATCTGCTTAAATACTCAGGTTGTGCCTTCTCTACTGGATCACTCTGATGTTTCTACTTAAAACTCTGTCCTGAACTCCCATTTCATTGATGAATTTTGCTTGTTTATCATATTTATTTATGTTCTGTCTTTCTCTCTAGAGAACACTTCAGGAGAGTAAAGGTCACAGGCCCTCACAAATGGCTAGAGTCAGCATGACATCTGGAGGATGCTCCAGGATTGTCTAGGGATGTGTGTGTGTACGCGTGTTGTGTTGGTAGGACAACAGGAAGATGAGGAGAGTCACAGTATCACATGAGGGGATGGGAGGGGGTTTCAGTGCACTCGACCTGGGCTCTAGCTAATGCTGGCTGCCAAGATTGACTTTAGGAAGCTGCCCTGGCTGTCAGACAAGGCAATAATCCTGCTGGGGGCCCTGACCCTGTGTAGAGCCATCATCCCATGCAGCTGCACAATGGCTTTAGCTTTTTCTTGGCATAAGACTCCAAAACTTAGCCAAGTTAAGTCATTTGCCAGAGAGACTCGTTTCTGAGTGGTGAGGTCCTCCTGTGATCTATCTGGCTCTGTCCAGTGACCTTCCATGGGCAAGCCTGTTACATTTTTCTTCTGTAGCTGGGATTCCTCTTCTATAAATGTGGATTTTGCCAGAACTAGGAATTGACTTTTTTACCAAGCTGCTATTATGGAATGCTATTTCCAGGCTGTGGTAGTGAGTCAGTGTACTATGGCACACACTGGAAGATGCCAGAAACACGTTGTGTCCCCTCATACACTGTGGGAAAGGCAGGTACTTCCAATTCCTGCAGGTCTCAGAGAGAACACCACCTACACTGGGGCCAAGGGTTAAGTAGCCAGATCACTATGGTTGGGCAGGGCACCATCTAACAGCCCTAAGCCTGGGCTTGGATGACAAAGAGGCCCCTCCCCAGAAGGCAACTGGACATTTAGAGCATACAGCCACCTGCTATATAAGGCCTCTCCCCACACCTGCCGCAGCACATTACCAGATTCACCTTCCTCAGGAGAGTGCCCCTGACTGGACTCAAAGGTGAGGGGCTGCTGAAGCCGGAGCCTGATGCTACAAGAAGCTTTATCCTGGCAGAGGTGGTGGCACTGGGGGAGTCGGGCTTGCTCTGGCTAGCTTCCAGAATGTTCTTGAGGTTCTTTTCTCTCAGTGCTGCCCAGGGTGTGCGGGCTGGAATAGAGGTTGAGGTTAGGGGTGTGCTTGCTTGGCATTCTGTTGTCGGTGTGGCACTGTGTCTCTGAGCTCTGGGTTCCTTGGCAGATGTCAGTAATTGTGGCTGCCTGCTGCTAGACTGCTGAAAGATTTAATAGTAGATTGCTGCAAGTCAGGAAGGGGACTGGAGAGGTAGCTCAGCTGGTAGAGTGCTTACCTCAGAAGTAGGAAGTGTTGGGTTCGATTCCTAGCGTCTCTTAACCTGGGTATGGTGGCACATGTCTGTCATCCCAGCACTCGGGAGGCAGAGGCAGGAGGATTAGAAGTTAAAGGGCATCCTTGACTATGTAGTCAATTTGAGGCTAGCCTGGGCTACAGGAGACCCAGTTCTTCTGGCAAAAGAAGTGATTAACAGGCCTCCTGTTGCATCACATGATTATCTCTGCCTCTCTGTTGTCTGTCAGCCAGGTCCCAGCTTCTCTGGGTCTGAAAATAGGACACCATCGGGCTGGTGGGAGCTGAGGTGATCTGTGCCGTGAGTGTCCTTATGTGATTGCTTCTCCCCCAACTTCCGTCTCCCTTCCTCTCCTCTGTCACAGGAATCATGCTCTAGAGGTCTTTTCCCAGAAGCTGGGGTCTCAGGCCTGGAGAGGGGTCTTGGTATTTGGAGGAATGCATAGTTGAGTGCAGAGCCCGTGTGTCACATACTCTACACAAGACGTACTCGATGTGTCCTCTGGGTTTCTGAACCATGTGTCCACTGGGAAAGCATGTGGGTTATTTGTCTCTCTCTCTCTCTCTCTCTCTCTCTCTACGAGACAGGGTTTCTCTGTATTGTTTTGGAGGCTATCGGTCCAGCCCGGCCTCGAACTCACAGAGATCTGCCTGCCTCTGCCTCCCGAGTGCTGGGATTAAAGGCGTGCGCCACCACTACCCGGCGGTTATTTGTCTCTTGACTGAGCTAGTTTCCCTTATTTTTTACTAGTCCCTGGTAAGCCAACCGGAAGGCCATACTAATGTGTGTTCTATGTGGTGGGATGTGTGTTTGGTCTGTGGTATGGGATGGAGCAGGAAGAGGGATGTTCTCCCTGAGAAAAGGTCAGCTCTGCTTCAGTCTGTGGCAGCCGTCATGGGGCAGCCAAGCTTGAGAGCAGGAAGCACCTGGATTGTGCCCTGCTTTGGGCCCACAGGTGAGCCTGGCCGCTTCTGCTTCTGCCAGAGGTTGCTTATCTGTGAGGAGTAGACACTAGCCTGTCTTGAGGCAGCACTTGGGACTCCATGGGATGCAGGTGTTCTGCCTTCCATGGCTAGAGGCAGCTGCTCAACACCTGCAGCTGCTGGCCATCGAACAGTGGTTCCTGTGCCGAGGGATGGATGTTCCCGTGCCTGTACTTACCTTGAGTGAGCTAACCTAAGGAGCCACATTTGACTATGGCTGGCATTTATTGGGTCAGTAAGAGTACGATCAAGGAGGGCTCTGTGCAAATGTCTGCTTCTTGTGCTGTATTGCTACACAGGCAAAGAGAAATTCCTTGAGCTGTGACTTAGGATCTTAACAAAGGTGGCGAAAACATAGCAAGCCCCAAAATCTAATTCAGATGATTTGCAGGTAAGGAATGCCAGGCACTAAGAAGTTGGTGCTACTTTAATCCGCCGCAGGAGCTTTGGTGTGTTCAGGCCCTGGCTTCCGAGGTGTGTCACATGTGTTGGATAGCAGACTGGAGTGGGAGTGAGGGGTCTGCATCGTACCCCAGTTCCGACACCTCTCAGGAGTAAGATCTCGGTTTTGAGTCCATCATTTCCCTCTTCTACGGCTCAGTTTTGTCCAGATACTAAGAATAGTACCTGGTTGCTAAGGTGGACAAATAAATTAGTGTATGTAAAGGGCTTGGAACAGAGCAAGGGCTCACAGGTGTCTGGATAGGTGGTGGCAGCAAAGCTCCTGTGCATCAAAGTGAATGTAGGAGTTGTCTGCATTGAGAATAGACATTGCACTCTGGAGTGGTAGGGGACACAGATCCTGTGGCAGGGAAGGGAGGGGACCATAGACCCGAGGGAGGAGAGGAGGACATAAAACCCAGGGCTGTTCTTTTTATCTGGAACCCTGTTAGGATTTGGATCTCAAATATGCCACAGATGCCCATAGCCTGGTCATCAGCCTGCGGCTCTTTAGTGAGATGCTGGAGCCTTTAGGCGGGTGGCCTGGGAGAAGGAAGTTAGCTAATTGAGGAAGACATTGGGACACTCTGTTCTATCCTTGTCACTCTCTGGCTGCCATTAGGTGAGCAGAGCTCCTTGGTCATGAGCTTCTGCAAAGTCCCGCGTGATGGGTCAAAATGACTGACACCTCTGAAGCCATGAGCCACAATAAATCTTTCTTCCTTATAAATTGATTATCTCAGGCATTTTATCATAGTGACAAAAAAACCGACGGACACATACCTCGGCCCCAGAAGACCTGGAAATTGGTCTGTCTGTCCATTGCATCTGAAACTCAACCTTGCCTCAGGACAGGACTGATTTGTTCCCCCAGAGACAAGGATAGACCCAGTAGCAAGCTAGTTGCAGTGTCTTTAAGACATCTTTGACGCCGGCATCCCTTCAAGGTCCTAGGCTGCATGCACTCTTTGTGTCTTCCCAGGTTTGAGGCTCCGTGTCCCCATCCTTAGGAGAAGTCAGTCCCAGCATCATGAAAGGCATCCTCATTGCTGGTGTCTTTGCGGCATTTGCCATCGCAGTTATAGGTGAGAGAAGTCCCCTTCTGGATAAAGTCTTCTTTTCCACCCCATCAGAACATCCTTGCTCTCAGCATCCTGGTACCCACCATCTGGCCTCTTGTGCTGTGTGTCCTCTCTGCCTTCAGAAAGACCACTCTGCTGCTGGTCAGGGTTGGCTCTTCCTGTTGGTGAATGGAGAATAATGGGGAGAAACTAACGGGCATTGCTCCATCTCATCGCATCAGTGTGGGGGATCTTCAGAGGGTGGTTGGGCATCCCATCTGGATCTTTCTTCCTGTGGTGGGTGTGGTGCTCTGTGAATGTGTACTGGTTGTTGACTACTGTGAATACTTTCTCCCCTCAGACTCCCTGAATTGTACAAAATGTGAGTCATTCAATAGCACCTGCCATGAGGAAGCTTCAGAATGTGGCGATGGCTTCTCCAGTTGTGTGGAGTCCTCAGTCAACTCCACTCTAGGTGAGTGGGGGCTGCCTCCATCTCTGGGACTCGTGGGAGGTGAGAGCTAAAGAGGGTGGGCACAAGAAGGACACCTGAGCTGGGGCTGGGCTGTGCAGTGACTCCAGAGGGTCGTGGAGACAACTCCCCAGGGCTGAGGTGAGCAGGAACTGCATGGCAATACAGGCACAGAATCAAACGAGCGGATAAGCCCTGCTGTGTCTTGGGAATCAATAACACGGATCAAACCCTCCCTGTGGATACGTTTGTTTTGTAGATGTAAACAGCAAGAACAACTCAGAGCTAAATAAGAGGCTGGGATTTTGCCTGGGACGTGGGTTTATTCAGCCATCTCTTTTTCTCAGCCTCCTGGCTCCTTTCTCTTCTGGATGAAATATGTTTCTTTGGTGAACTCCTAGGCATTCTGACTATTAGGAACCTCTCGGGGCACTTAGAGTTCTTCCCCACACTAAAGCGGGAAGGACAACAAACTGACATCTAAACCCTGGCCTTGGTCAACAAGGGGGTTCGGGAGATGGGTCAATCAACAAAGTGCTTGCCACACAAGCAGGAGGATCCGAGCTTGTCCCTTAGCATCTATATAAAAAGGCCATGCATGACAGTGCAGTCCTGTAATCTCAGTACGGGGCAGCCCAGACAGGACGATTCTGGAGCTTGTCAGTCTAAAACTGGTGAGGTCCAGACCAGCTAGTTCAAGCCCCTTTATCAAAAAATAAGTCAGAGAGCCATTGAGAAAGCTGGTGTTGATCTCCACCTTTTGAATGCTGTGATTACAACTATATGCCAACATGGCCAGCAAACTTAATGTTTTTTTTAGTGTTTTCTTTCCCCCCCTCTCTCTCTCTCTCTCTCTCTCTCTCTCTCTCTCTCTCTCTCTCTCTCTCTCTTCCTGTCCTTCTTTTTTTTTGTGATGTAGGTCATTACACCCAGGGCTTTGTGTGTGCCAGATAATCAATTGCTCTACCACGGATTCACATTCCTGGTCCCTTAATTTATAGCTGATGGCTCCGTATTGGATAGCTCTGACTGGATTCTCATGGTGATGCTATATCATATACCAAATCCCACTGTGTCTGCCTTATTATTTTTTGAGATGTTAAGACAAATTAGTGACCTGGGAGGGCTTTATATGTGCTAGACTAAGCCAGAATTTTCTAGTGTCCCTCCTGACTTGTATTTGTACCCAACCTTTAGACATCATGATACAGCATTGTCACCCACAGAGTTCATGTGGTTAAGAGATAAGATTAACAACAACAACAAAAACCATGAAAACTTTTAATGTGCTAAATAAGTTTACAACTTAGTTCTGGGTCTCATTTACATCTCTCCATATGAGGCTCACAAGGTGTAGGTTAGCTAATGGCAGAGTTTAACCCATCCCTCTGTTAATTTGATGAAGAAAAGAGTTCTCTGATGGGAAAGGGTTATCTTTTTGCTCTCCCCCAACCTTCTGCCTCAGACAAGGTATCACTATGTAGCCCTGGCTGTCCTGGAACTCACTATCTAGATCAGACTGGCTTTGAACTCACAGGAATTCACCTGCCTCTATGTCCCAAGTGCTGGGATTAAATGCAAGCATTACTACACCCCACTGGGTTCTTCACATTTTAAGGAGCCTCCAGTGTCTCCCAAGATGTGCTGAGCAGAGGTTCAAGTCAACTGTCCCTGTCTGAAGCACCATCTCCTCTGGATGCTGCTCTCCCTGGAGCCTCTCCAGCCACTAACAGTCTGCATTTGCCTTGATGTAGGAGGGTCCTTGTATTTGTACCAGAACAAGTTCTGCTCAAAAGATAATTGCATCGAGAACAAAACCACCCAAGTGGCCTTCACAGTGCGTGTGTCTGCTAACCAAAGCTATCATTTTGCAAGTCAGTGCTGTCAAGGAGAGACATGCAACGACACCAATCCTGGTTTGTACTGGGCCCAGAAGCCTGTCCTGTGTCACCCTCCATGTTCTGCCCTTGATTTTCTATCTGCTATGCTTGGCTGGGGGTGGATGGATGTCTCAAGTTCAGGCACTTCAGAACACAGCTGGATGATGTTAGCATCTGACTTACAGCAATCACATAAGAAACATGGGAGATGGCTTAGCCAGCCCAGATATCATGTTTTCTTCCCTCTTTTCAGTGAAGATTCCATTTGTGTGGCAAGCGAAGCATGCTCATTAGTCATTCTTAAACTTTGTGATTTCAGGGATCAACTACAAGTTTATTGTAGACAATATCTCCTGCAGTCTAGGCTCACCTCAAACTTGCTATGGAGCCAAGGATGGCCTTCACTCAGTCTTCCTGCCTCTGCCTCCTGAGTGCTGGGATTATAGGTGTGTGTCACCACACTTGGTAACATTCCAAGTGTGAGTAGCAAATCTTTTGTTTCTATGGTCCCTACCTGCTAACATTTACCAGTTTAGAAATAAAAGTGAAGCAAATTCACAAATATTAATTTATTTACTCAAAAGTAAAAATATCTAGCCAGGCATGGTGGTACATGCCTTTAATTCCAGCACTTCTGAAGTAGAGGAAGAGACATTAGTTGAAGGTCAGCCTGGGCTATATAGTAAGACCCTGTCTAAAACAAAGTAAAAAACAAACAAACAAAATACATATTAATACTAATAGAGTTTTACATAGAAATAACTTCCAAAAACATTTAATGAGATGAATAGCATTATTCCATATATATGTATATTAAAGATTTACTTATTTTTATTTTGTTTGTGAGCTTACATGACGTGTACCATGCATGTGCAATGCCCACAGAAGCCAGAAGAGGGCATCAGATCCTCTGGAGCTGGAGTTATAGAGGGTTGTGATTTGCCACATGGTGGCTGGGCACTGAACCTGGGAACCGAGCCTGTGCTCTTAATTGCTGAGCCATCTCTCTAATGCAAACCCCCAAACACATATTTTGATAGAGTGTTTTAACTTCTGGTTTAGAAGGAAGCTAGGATCTCATGTTTCCTGTGTGTTTAGTCTGTTTCAGTCTCACTCATTATGTGGGGCTTCTGGATAATTCTGCTGCGAGCACACAAGGCAACAGAAGAAAAAGGAGCAGATAACACCTTCGTGTTGTGTAGAAATGGTTTTAACATTTTGGAATCCCTGAAGGGCCTTAGGGACCCAGGAGTTCCTGGACTGCAATTTGAGAAGTGGTCTTCTACATCAAAGTCTTCATTTGGAACACTGGTTCTCAACCTGTGGGCTGTGACCACCAGAACATACTTATTTCTGATGGTCTCAGGAACCCACAACTATAAATTTATTTTTGTTGCTGCTTCATAATGGTGATTTTGCTACTGATCAGTGTCTCTCAGTTCTTAAGACCATTGGGAATATGTTGACAACTTCTGGTTACGAAAAAGAAAACTATGTGGGCAGAGATGGTGAAGTTCAATATCATAATCACAGATAGTTAGGAACAAAGTGTGCTGGTTCTCAATGTGATTTGTTCATTTTTAAAATTTTTGCTTCATCACATTATGAAAATGGACCATGTTCATCTGCTCAGGACAAGTTGTCTAATGCTTCAAACAGCTGGCTGTCCTTGACGTTGACTTGAATTCTTTCCTTTCTTGCTCATGTCTACTGCAGATCACTGTGAGCCACCATTCTTGCAAACTGGCTGCCCCTTAAGGGTGGGCCTCAGGGGTTGTGCATAGGAAACCTTTGGGCAAAGCCTATGTCTTTAAGGCTAGATCTGAGGTTCCCCAGATGCAGACTCTCCAGCAGCTTCTCTGCCTGCCTATCCCCTCCTTGCTAGGGTAGTGTGATAACATGATTGTAAGTAATGGCTTTCCTTTACCCAGACTCTCCATCCCAGGCTGTCGGCAGCATCAAGTGCTCTTCTTGCTACAGCTATAACACAACCACCTGCCAGGAGACAGAACTGCTGTGTTACGAAGGAGAACAATGTGTCCATATCATTACTATTCCTGTAAATCGTAAGTCTGGACTTCAATTCTTTAACAGGGATGGAGATGAACCACGTCAGGCCTCGATTCCAATGCTGAGCTAAGGAGGGCAGAATGGCTGGGGAGGGCAGAAGCAGAGCAGAGACTAACTCAGGAGGCCTTTCGGCCAGAGACGGCCAGGAAGCCTCCTGCTGGTTGCCACTTCTGCTTTCAGCAGTGTCCTCCTCTCTACATTGGGTGCAACTAATGTGTCCATCCTGGCTAAGGGGACTCTTGGGAATGTGGTCCAGTGACTTCCAAGAAGGAAATACAGAGGCACAAAGCAAAAATGAGTAACCAGCCTGTCTCAGCTAAAACACAGCTCGGACTAGAAGGGTTTAAGGCCTGCAGCCAAATGTAAATTTCATTTCAATTTTTGCTTAGTGCCAACTTCAAGCCTATTTTTTAAAGCCTTTAAAATATTTTAAAAGAGATATCTTAGATCTACAGCAAAGCTGAGTTAGAGACATAGACATTCCTCATGTACCCTCCCTCTGCCTAGCCCATGTGTAATTGTCGTCACTGTCAAAGTGATTGCCCCACAGTGACAATAAGCCTACACAGGTACTCATTGTCACCCGAGTCCGCAATTTACTATGTCAGGATGTCAGGGCTCACTCCTGATAGAAGCATGACAGCGTCACATAGAGGAAGGCCCTCTGCCCTGAAAGCCTGTGCTCCACCTGGTCATGCTTTTCTTCTTCCACATAGGATTCTGGTAGCCACTGTTTTTTTTCTTTCTTTCTTTCAGCACTCTATCTTATTCTGGAAAGTCCACTCTCCCCCTCTCACTTTCTTAGTCTCGCTGTGTTTCTGTGTCTTTCTGCTCTGTCCCCCAGGGCCTCACACATGCAAATCATACACCATACCGCTGAGCTGCACCGCAGCAAAAGGCCTCTTTCCTTTAGAGATGGTTGAAGTGTTCACACAGCCCTGGTTTTTAATTCTAAAGTTGTGCCTACAGGCAGCTCCTCTCATCCCTGTGTCTCCAGGTGGTGTAGTCTCATTGATGCCGAAAGCCAGGCAGGTCACAAATGAACCTCTTCTTGCTTGTTTTGTCCAACATCACTTTTAAAATCCCATCGAGATGTGCTAAGCACCCCACTTCCTGACTCCAGTTAGCTCAACTCTCAGCACTGATACCTAGATGAAAGAACAGCAAACTTCTCTTCCTGGGGTTTGGAGGTCTCTGACAGACCATGTCCGTTCATACCGTTGAATCTCTTCAGTCCTCTGGCAGCTCCCCGTTTCTTAGGGATGCTCCCCGTTTCTTAGGGGCAGCTCCCCATTTCTTAGGGGCAGCTCCCCGTTTCTTAGGGGCAGCTCCCCGTTTCTTAGCGATGCTTGAGTTGCAGCTGACAGACCCACAAGGGCACAACCACTCACAAGTAGCTGCTCTTTGTAACTGCATCTTTGAAAGTTATGGAGACCTTTTTCTTTTTTTTCCCATCATTTAAAAAATTTAGTTTACATACCAACCACAGTTTCTCCTCCTTCCCCTCCGCCCCATCCACTCCTCCTCTATCTCCATTCAGTTGGGGCAAGACCTCCTATAAGAATCAACAAAGCATGACATATTAAGTTGAGGCAGGACCAAGCTCCTCCCCACTGCATCAAGGCTGAGCAAGGCCTCCCACCAAAGGGAATAGGTTCCAAAGAGCCAACTCATGCACCAGGGACAGATCTTGGTCCCACCGCTAGGGGCCCCACAGAAGACTAAGCTACCCAACTGTCACTCAGATGCAGAGGGCCTATGTCTGTCCCATGCCGGATCCCTAGATGTGGGTTCAGAGTCCATGAGCTCCCACAAGCTCAGGTCAGCTGGCCGGTGACATTTTTCTACAACTCTGTCTAAGTGGACAGCGCTTTGAGTTAAGATCAAGATGCTGAGCATTTGCTGTCCACTTTCTGTTGGTTTTTCTTTTTCTTTTTCTTTTTTTTTCCTCAAGGGAAACTCAGACAGGAAAAAATCAGACCCAGAGGAGTGAGATCTGAAAGAAAATGCTGGGAAGGGGGGTGGAGCCCAGGGTGCCCACTGATTCATTCCTTTCTGGAGAGGTGAAAGAAAGAACTGCCCCTGAGCCTGTTACCCATGCTTACCTCCCCCTCCCCATTCCCTCCTCTCTGTGTTTTTCTTGACGGAGTCTTGCCACATGGCTGAGGACTCATGATCTTCCTGCTACAGTCTCTCAAGCACTGGGCTTGCTGGTGTGTATCAGCATGCCTAGTTTGTTTTTGGCTTTTTGTCTGACAGCTCCACACAAGACACGGGGCATCCAAGACCCATCCCGTCCTTTCTTTTAAGCCTGGCTTTGCAACCCACCTCTCACAACCTCAGTTGCTTTTGGGGTTGGGTGAGGAGGGGTCTGGCCCTCATCCCCATAGTTCTGGTACTGCTATTGTCTGGTATTCTTAATTATGGACTTCTTATTGAAGGTGGCTGTCAGAAGTGTTGGAGCCTCCATGGGACCGAGCTAGGCCCTCTGCATGTGGGAGACAGTTGTGCAGCGAGGTCTAACTGAGGGCCTTCTGACTGTAGGAGTAGGATCTATCCATGGTGCATGAGCTAGCAAGCTTGTTGGAGTCCATTCCCTATGGTGGGATGCCATGTTCAACCTTAATGCAGGGGGGAGGGCCTTGGTCCTGCCTCAACTTAATGGGCCAGGCTTTGTCGAGCCCTCCATGGGAGCCCTAACCTTGTGGGAGGAGTGGATGGGGGGATTGGTTGAGGGGGAAGCGTCGGAACAGGAGGAGGGGTGGGAGAGAGAACTGTGGTTGGAATGCAAAAGGAAATAAAAAAATAGACTTAAAAATGGTGGCTGTCAGAAGCAAAGGGGCTGTTGCATGCTGCTCAACTGCTTGCAGATAAGTAACTCTGCATGGGCTGGGGCATGGGCAGTAAGGTTGTAGAGTTTTGATTGTGACATTTGTATCTTCAGGCTCTGAAAATAGAGTGGAGCTGAAAGGCTGTTCTGATATCAGCCAGTCTTCTTGTGATATCCTGTCTCCTGTGAACACAACATTTGGAGGATTCATTTTCCAGAGTGTTCAATGTGCAAATGTGAGCACCACAACCCAGCCAGTCACTGTCACTACCACCACTCCGGACAGTGCAACCATCAAAGCTTCCTTCGCCTCTGTGGTCTTCGGCAGCCTCCTTCTTCTGAAGCTGCTATTCTGAGGTTCCTGGGCTCTGCCCCACCCAGTGTCCCATGGGCGTTAACACCCTTTCTGTTCACATACCTTCCAATTTAATTGCTCAGTGGGTTGTAAGTCACAGGACTCCAGGCAATGCTAGCAGCCACATCATGTCCTTTATTAAAGTGTTGTTTGACTTCTAGATGGTCTGTCCTGTTACGATTGGGGCTGGATGTGGTTCAAGTCACTGCCCACTTTTCTTATCTTGGGTGGAGATAAGAGCTTCTTTGCCTCTGAACTCAATGGTATCCCTGCTCCTGGTCCATCTTGCTTCTGAGAAATTGAACCTGTGGCCTTGCTGGCCTTCTCCTGGCATTCCTGTACTCCGGCATTCTACTTGCTACTGCTTGTACAGTCACATGCAGGAGGTGCCCCAGCTGAGCCCTGTTGTGTCCTGTGCTGCTCCTAGTACCAAAACAGACGTTAAACAGCCCTTCAGTCTGACACGACATCACGACATCTGGTTCTTCAACAGTTGTCCAGAGCCCCACAGCAAATAAAGAAAAAAATGTTATCCCAGAGGCCTGTCACTATGAAGGCTCAAGAGGGACATATGCAGAGGGACTGCTGAGGGCCAGAGTGTTCCCCACTGGCTGCATAATCACATCTTCAGGAAGACAGAGGACAGAGGGGCTCAGAGCCTGGGATTAGGAGGTCTCCTGTAACACCTTGCAGAATGGAGTGTGGATGCAGAGCCCTGGTCCCTTCACTCAGAGAGTTGAACCTGTTCATTCATTCCACATCAGATACTCAGGGGGCAAGACAGCCACTCAAACCCAAGCTTGCTGGGTTCAGGTTTAATAGTAAGGTGGGTGTTGAGCTAGTTTTTGGATAGATGGGGCTTTCTGTAATAAAGAAATCAAAAGGCATAAGCCAGCAAAGGCCTTTATTGTGAAGAGCTGACGCCAATGAAGCAAAGGCAAGTCACCATGAGGGCTGTGATGGTGCCCACAGCTGTGTCCACTCTGACTTACCTTGGCTCTTTAAAAAAAACGTTTATTTTTACCATTTCTGTGCACACAGTGTGTGCGTGTCTGTGTGTGTGTGCATGTGTGTGTTCGTAAGAGCACAGTGCTCACAAAGGCTGGAAGAGGGTGCCAAATCCTCTGAAACTGGATTTGTAGATGATGCTACAGCCTGATATGGCTGCTGGGTAGGGAATCCAGGTCCTCTGCAAGAGCAGCAAATACTCTTAAGCACTGATCAGACTCTCCAGCCCACCTTAGCTCTTTATTTACAAAGCCAGGAGTGTTTGAGAATGCCTTCACTCAGTGCTTGTCTGTTGCTGTGATAACATAATCTCTCTCTCTCTCTCTCTCTCTCTCTCTCTCTCTCTCTCTTCTCTCTCTCTCTCTCTCTCTCTCTCTCTCTCTCTCTCTCTCTCTCTCACACACACACACACAGAGTTTAGGAGATGAAGGGCTTATTTCAGCTCACTGTTCCAGGCTACATTTCATCACTAAGAAGTCACAGTAGCAGTAGTGTGATACAGCTAGTCACACGACATCCACAGTTAAGAGCAGAGAGAAGCATATGCACACAGCATCACTTGTTGACGTTGATTTTCTCATACAGTTCAGGACCCCCTGCCCAGGGAATGGCACCACCCATAGTGGAATGGGTTTTCCCGTATCAATTACTTAATTAAGACAGTCTCCCCTACCACAAGACATGCATACAGGCCAACCTAATATGGACAAACGCTGATTGAGACTCTTGGCCTAAGTCAAGCTGAAAGTTAAAGCTAATCATCATACTCCACCTTTTGTCAACTTGTCATACAACACAACACTTTTAACCCATAATCTTTCACTTCTTTAATTTCTATTTTTATGTGTGTGGATGTTTTGCTTGCAAGCATGTCTGTGCACTGTGTGAATGCCCTCAGTGGCTCCAGAAGCCAGGAGAAGGCGTTGTATTCTCTGGGACGGGAGTAACAGATGGTTGTGCACTATCACAGGAGCAGTAGTTATTGTGGTCCCAGGATAGCTCATTTCACTTTCTGTTCTCCAGCCAACAGAAGTGACAGAAACACACAGAAGGAAACACAGAGAGACACATAACAAGGACAACCTGGGGTAGCCACCACACAGACTTAAGCCAGGGGACTCTGGTGATGTCTCACACAGATCCCAGACACTAGTGCTGGGTCCAGATTTATCTAAGTGCCCACGCAGAAGGTACCATAAACACTCACCTCCAGAAAGGACAGATCCAGGTGACTTTCTGTAGTTTCCTGTTTAGGGTGGAGGCATCTGGAGCAGAGGTGGGAGAAGGTCCCGGGGCCCAGGAATGTCTTAGGGTGCATACTCCCTAGGAATTGTCTCAGTTCCTAGGGCAATCAGTCCAGAGGATCTGAGGCCCTAGTGTCTCTGGGAATCTTGCTGAGAATGTTGCTAGGCTACTCCTTTAAAGAACACAAACTCTTTTTTTTTCGAGACAGGGTTTCTCTGTGGCTTTGGAGGCTGTCCTGGAACTAGCTCTTGTAGACCAGGCTGGTCTTGAACTAACAGAAATCCGTCTGCCTCTACTTCCCAAGTGCTGGGATTAAAGACATGCGTCACCACCGCCCAGCTAAACACAAACTCTTAAAGTCAACAGAAAGTCTTTACTTGCCCCCAGGAGGGCTACAGGGAGAACTTGTCCAAATTGTGTAACCCTAAGCCTCACAAATAAGATACAAACCATGCTTATCATGAAAACATGTATCTTCACTTCCTTGTGACCTATGTACAGTAACAATGCTGTTGTTGACCTATGTTTTTATACTACCAGTCTATATAACCATAGAATGCACCTCATAAACCTTATGAGCTCATTTACAAACGAAATGTTCCATAGCTAAGAACAAGCCTACCAACACATTTTAATAGTTTTAGTCCTATGAACAGTATACTTAAGAAGTTACGATGTCATATGTATATAACTATTGTTAAGGTGAGTCAATATGACTTCCTTAGACACTCACATCTATTATAGAGCCACTGTCTTTATATGTCTCCATCTGTGTCTTAATGACCTCATATATATAATATATATATATATGAAAACCTTTTCTTAAACTCTTTGCTTTAAAAAGCAAAGTGGGTGGGGAGTGTGTAAAAACCTTTCTTGGTCTGTTGGAGATGCTGAAGATGATTCCTCCTCCCTCCTCCCCTTACCTCCCTCCCTCCCTCCCTCCTTCCCTCCCTCCCTCCGTCCTTCCCCCCCTTTGCCCCTCTTCTCTCATACCTTCTTTCTGGATTAAGTGTTTTTCAAAACACACAGCTATAATTAGACTTATTATTTTTTTTTTAACCTTTCTTAGGCAGCAAATCCTCTGTCTGGCCACACTGACTGAGATCAATGTGAGACCCAGCAGACCTACATGGACTCTGACCGTTTTCAGACTTAGGGCAGACTTGGTCTGTTTCAACAGTGGCTCCAGCTCAGTCCCAGTCTCCCTTGCTTTTCCTACCAGCTTTGCCTGTCACAAAGCACTGTCAGGGTGGAGGGACAAGGCGGAAGGAGGTTTTGTCTTGAGATGTGATGGTTTTCTCTTTTAGTTTAAGTTGTCTGAAGCCCTGGCTCCATCTGCCTTTGAGTCATGTTACTGTCACCACCTGTAAATGCAATTTTTCCTTGTTCTTGCATTGACATGGAAGAGTCACTGAGAGTCCTGTCTCTAGGGGGAGCTATTGAATTTAGTAGTGCCATGATGCAGTTCTGTTGTTTCCTTTTGCCCCATTTGTTTCTTTGGCCAACATTAAAGCTATATTTTCCATATGAGAAATCAAGATATCCAACCCCATGGTTCTTTGGGGGAGCTTTCTGAGATAAGGTCTCATATAGCTCAGACTAGCCTCAGACTTGCCACGTAGATCAGGACGATGACCTTGAACTCCAGGTGCTCCTACCATTACTTCCTCAGTGCTGTGATCACAGATGTGCTCAGTGGGGTTTGAATTCTATATGTCAAGACAGAAAGTACTTTGGATAAAGTTCTCATATTCCTTTTAGTGAATAATGTGCTAAGATCGTCTTGGTTTTCTTGTGGACACTATGTACTAGATTGGAGGGCCCAAACTTGTGCTATTGACGCTGGAGGCCAGATGCATTGAAAACTGCACTGTAGTAGTAGTCACAGAACAAGAGCAAAGCAGAGTGCCCTCACTGTAAATGCCTGCTGTGGGTTTAGAGAGTGACAAAGATGCCCACAAGCATTTGTGTTAGAGTCGTTACTACAATCTCGTGTGTGTGTGTGTGTGTGTGTGTGTGTGTGTGAGAGAGAGAGAGAGAGAGAGAGAGAGAGAGAGAGAGAGAGAGAGAGAGAGAGAGAGAGAGAGAGAGAGAGAGAGAGAGAAGGATCTGGAGTTGAGGGAATGACATTGGAAAAAGTACTGACAGCAAAGACTAAAGTATCTGAGTCTGAATCCCCAGAACTCACATAAAGCTGGACATGTAAGGCATACGTGTACTTGCGTGTGTGTGTGTGTTGTGTGTGTGCATACACACAGAGATGCATATATATATATATATGTATATGATTTTTCCAAGACAGGATTTCTGTGTGTAGCTTTGGAGCCTCTCCTGGCACTCACTCTGTAGGCCAGACTGCCCTTGAACTCATGAAGATCTGCCTATTTCTGCCTCCCAAGTACTGGGATTAAAGGTGTATGCCATCACCATCTGGCTTTAACCACACAATTTCTGACAAAGCCTCAAAAGCACATATTGAAGAAAGACAGACTTTCTTTGACACATGTTTTTGGGGAATTTGAATTTCCACATTGTTTTAGTCAATGTTCTCATGTTGTGCAGAGACACCATGAGCGTGGCAAAGCATTTAATTAGGGCTTGTTTAGATTCAGAGCTTTAACTCACTGTAATAATAGAAAGAAACATGGAGGCCATGCAGGCAGACATGGTGCTGGAGAGGTAGTTGAGAGAACTGCATCCTGATCTACAGGTTGCAGGAAGAAAGAGAAAGCTACTGGGCCTGGATTGGGCTTCTGAAACTCCAAAGCCCACCTCCAGTGACATACTTTCTGCCAACAAGGCCACACCTACTCCAACAAGGCCACACCCCCTAATAGTGCCACTCCTGGTGACCAAGCATTCAAGTCTATGAGTCTGTGGAGGCCATTCTTACTCAAACCACCA